CATAAAATTTTAGGGTTAGTAGTTTTAGACATTGAAGTTTCGAATGAGCAAAAAAAATCGAAAAAAAAAATTTTATCGAGTGCCTCGTATCCTCGATGCTGTCGTGGACCCTCTCTTAATTGCTAGAGCCGCATCTTTCGGTGGTCCTATGCGTGTAGGCAAAGAAGTTTATGAAAAAGTTAAAGAAATGTGGATTGAACGGCACGCTGGTCCCAAAGGCTACAATCCAGCACTCAATTGTCTTCTTCAACGCGATGGAATTGAAGATAAACTTGGTGAAATTAACGTACCGGCATTGGTACTGCACGGTACAGAGGATAAAGTGTTCTCAACGAAAGATGCACAAGAGTGGAGTTCAAAACTACCTAAGCTATGGAAATTCGAAGTGGTGGAGGGCGGTCTGCATTATCTTTCATTCACGCAGCCTGAAGATGACGTCTGTGCGCAGTTGATTTCGCAATTCATAAAGGAAACTTTGTAGAAGTGCATAACCTAGAAGACATATTATTTAAATAAAGAATTCACTACAAACCTTACATTTTCGATACACTATTTTGTCTTATGGGTCTTTTTCAGACAAGTGTATGTGCTCTCCTTGTGGCAATATTGTTGTCTTTAATGATTTATATTGATCAGAACCTATCTATCTAGCACTTTGGCATTTAGTATAACCACGAAATTTCAACTTCATGGCACACTGTAAACTAGAAAATAAGTTATAGAGTTTAATGAAGGATATTCTAGGAATGCCCATATGAATTCATCGATGAATTTTTAATTCTTTGAAAATAAGATATTCAAAACATTAAGAATAAGAAATTTTATTTTCTAATTAGAAAATCGAAAGTGAATTCATATGGACATTCCTAGAATTTCGGATTCTATTTAGCAATTCGAGTATTTTTTTAAAACTGGAAAATCGAATTTTATTTTCATATCATAATGAAGTATCTTTTATTTATTTTATTTCATATCGACAATATACAACGTGCAAAAGAAAAACAATAGTCTGACAAAAAAAAACATTTCAAAAGACTATTAACAATTGAAATAACAAATGGTGAAGTTTAATAATCGTCTAGCAGCTAATGACAAAAAAAAACGATCTTTTTTTTGAACGATAAATCGTTGAGAACTTCTAATGTTGCCCGCACTTTTAATGGATATTCTATATTGAATATCTCATATGACCCAATTAAAGCAGTCATTGCTTCAACTTGTAAATTTGTTGTAATAAGTCTGTTGTATTCAATAACAACAGAATAATCTTTAATGTTATCCATTGATTGTACTTGTATCATTGGATATGCCTCAATTACTTCCTAAAATAAACAATAATAAAATAAAACGATGACTACAGTGTAATAATTTCAATTGTATATGGAATTACTTACATGATTTAATAACAACTTTTTTGAATGTTTATAACGTTTCATAACCAAATGCTCCAATATAAAAAATGGTTGTTCACCTGAAATAAAGAAAATAAAAATAAAGATTAATAAAAATAAATTACCTTCAACAATATCTTCTTTTCGTGGATGATCAACATATTTAATTAATTTTGCGCATACTGATGTTAATGTTTTAACAATATCACCATCCAATGGATCACAACGAAGATTAATTTCTCGAATCAACTATTCAAAAAAAAATAAAAATAAAAATAAGTATGCAATTATGCTATTGAGAATTTATAAATTTCTCTGAATGATCTATTCAAACTCAGTAGCTTCACATCAGGCTACTCGTGGATCAATATCAATACACTATCAAGTACTTACCAAGTTGGTTATTGATAAACCTGGAAATAATTCGACAATATCTTTGATCGGGTTCATCTCCCGAACAAGCTATTGACGATGTGAATATGTTGTATCCATTTTCGCTTTAATTTGACCATAATCGTAATTTGTCGTATTGATCATAACACGCATTGATTCTGCTTGTTGATACAACTGCATCAAAAATTCTTCTGGTTGTTCATTTTCTTCGACTATATATTCCTGAAAAAGAAGAACTTCGAAAAAAAAACAAAAGTTTAATCCTTACTCGTCGAGATACCAATTCTACTTTTACAAATTTTAATTTTCGTCCTGATGATTGATGACCATATGACTGCCGTTTTTTTTTCAATACTTCTGATAAACAACTGGATATCTATCTATCACGAGAAAATTGTTGTTTTAATGCAGATGCTAATAAACTCTAAATGAAACAAATAAAATAAAATAAAGATGAAAAAAATTATATAGTCTATCAGACATACCATATCTTCACCAAATATTTTAGTGAGTGTTGGAAATATATTTTTAACACTAACAATCATTCGATCAAATTCGAATGCTGTTGGATAAAAATCAATACCATAAATATTTACTGCATCATCGCGAATTGTTTTTACTAATTGTTGTTTCATTCTACATCGGGGTCCAAAATCAGCTGGTGATGGATGTTCAGCAACCTCTTCAAAAGCTTTACCAAACCTTGGAAGTGTATAATTTAATGGAAATTTTCTTCTTAGTTCAGATGATGAACTTGTTGAATTATCATTCGATTGTTGATGGATTACTTGATTAGGTAATACTTCAATAAATGGTGAAGAATTTGTTTTTGATGAAACTTGATCGAGAGATAAATTTGATGTATTTGAATTTGACATAGGTATCATCAAATGGTGTCGTTGATCAACATCATCATTATCATTATCAATATTAAAATCACCAAAAAATAATAAATTATTTGATTGATTAGCGTGCAATTGTTGAATAAGTATATCAGATTGTTTTTCATTTAATGTCAAAATAGTACTAGAATGATAAAAGGGAACATACTTGATTAGTTGAATAAATGAATAACACTTACTTTTGATTCGAAAAAACGTTTTCTTTCAGTTTTACGAGTGTTTTTTCAAATGTTGTTTTAAATCCAATAGTTGGTTTCTTTAACACATTACCATTGGTATTAGTTGATAATAATTCTTCAATTGATGTTGAACTTAAACTTAATAATGATAATCCATCAATTTCTTCTTCTAAAATAGATAAAGAAAAGATTTAGTTAATGGGTAAAAAGTTATCGTCGATACCCTTAAACTTGTTTACGTATTTATCAAATCCATTTTCTATCAACCATCTCAAAACATCATCATTTGTCCAATTCATAGATTATTTATCCAAAATAAATTAGAAAAAAATGGAATAGTATCTTTAATTTTTCTAAATTCTTTTATTAACAAGTGAATAAATAATATTTGCAAACATATAGAATATATATATATCATAATGACATTAAAAAAAAATTATTCAATAAGTGTTAAACGATAAGGTACACGAATAAAATAAGAATTATTCAAACAATAACAGTCTTCTGCCCTATGTGTCAAACATTCATTCTTACCTAACCCCATATACGTATCTGATGGACTGATTTCATAACAATGAACAATAAATCTC